GAAAGATCCAAGTATAATAATTGATCAAGATAAATCGATTAAAAACTTTGTTCTTGAACAAGCATTTGCCGACGCTACAAGCTATTTGCCTTAAAAATCAGCATCACACCAAAAAACAACAAAGACAAAACCTGAATGCTAGAATTACTTCCCTTAGAAACCTAGCTTAACATATCATCATCATCAATACATGAAAGATCACTTTTGCCCACTAACTTAGCTTAACTTCTTGGAATCATTTGATCTCTCTTTACAGTCTACACAAAAGACGCTATACAGAAGAAACCCACCAACACATACACTCAAGTATATACATTACTAGACTGATGATGATTGGTTGCAATCAAACAAACCATTTCAAGGGCTTGATGAGCACCCCTCTTTCCTTGGCTCCCGAAGATACCCCAGAAGTCTTTCTGCCTGCACCATACAAAAACATCACAATTCATCAGATTCAAGCTTTTTGAATTCACGTCAAATGGATCTACCACACTGGTGTTTTTGGGACCAAGTCAATACAAAAGCTAGATCTGATACCATTTATCAAAGCTAAACGAAAAAGACCAATCTTGTTGTTACCTTGCGCTTAGCTCTAACACTGACGCAGCCACTCTGAGAGAGACCCACAAGCGGAGGAATCGCGCCTTCCCTCACAAGCAACCCACGGTTTCTGACGCTCTCTGCACAAAGCTGCAACAGCGTCAAGACCGCAAATTCTTTCCCTTTTACCGATCCATCCTCAATAGCCTCCACGAGAGCTGCGATCCCTCCTTCCTCGACGATTGCCTCTTTGCCTTGGTCAATCGCTGCAAGGCTGCTCAAAACCACCATCGCCTTCTCCGACATTCCAGTCCCTTCCTCCGCCACGAGGTCCACCAACGGCTTCACTGCTCCGGCGGTAACCGCTCTCTCCTTGTTCTGCTGAAGCGTGCACAGCTTGTAGAGTGTTGTAAGCGCATCCTTTTTGCCTCTGCAAGATCCGTTAAGCAGAAGAGAAACAAGCGGCGGAATCGCGCCACAGGCTCCGATCGAGGCTTTGTTCTCCTCCACGAGCGCCAAGCTGAGCAACGCGCATGCGGCGTTCTGCTTTGAAGTCTCGGTCCCCGTTTTCAGGACCCAAACAAGTGATTTGATTGCTCCTCCGGCGGCGATTACGGTTTTGTTCTGGTCGTGTAAAGAGAGATTCAATAGAGCTGTGACCGCGTGCTCCTGTGTCCATGGATCGTTGCAACGAAGAAGTGGGATCAGAGCTTGAATGGCTCCAGATTCCCCTATCAGCACACGGTTATCCGCCCGATTCTTCGCCAGGAGCCGTAGCTTCGCTGCAGCAGATCGCTTGATGGCCACCGAAGAGGAGCGAAGTCCGTCGATGCAGAGTTTCACCGTCGGCTGGAGATCTTCAGGAGAAATACACTCAATAATCTCCGTAGAGAAGTTTTCCCTCTGGAGAAACCCTAGACACGGCTCTGGATCCTGCGCTTCGTCATCTCCGACGTTCTCCTTTCTCTCGGATTCAGGGGACGGCAGGCAAGCGAGACGCTGTAACTCGCCGGAGATATCGCTACTACAGGCGGAGAAATCACTGAAGGCCTGAGAAATGTCGAGGAAGGCTTCCTCCTTGAGTGAGGAAGCGGATGAATCGAGTGAGTTACTGTTCTTCAAAGCAAGCTCGCCGAGCCTCATGTCGATAACGGAATCCGAGAGGTAATCGGAAGCATACTCCGATTTATCGCCGACGGAGCCGACGAACGAGAAAGCCTGATCGCCGCTTTGATAGAAATTAGATCTTACAGTCCTCATAGAGCGGCCAGTTTGACGGTGTAACCTCGCCGCCGACGGCGAAGATGAACCGCAAAAGTCAGTTGTGAGCGGAAAGCGAGTAGAATTCGAATGGGATAACGGATCCTCCACCGAAACCATGTTGGTACAGATCGGAATGACCAAAATTAAACTTGCGTTTTTGTCCTCAGATTCTCACAGCTCTCATGGTGAGGTTAAGGAGGAGGATTTATGAGGAAGATGAACAAGTTTTTAAAGCTTGCAGCTGTTAGTATGTGGGTGACTCTGCACTCACGGGACTGTCACGAAGCAGTGACACGTGGAGAGATCCAGAGTCGTATCTATTAAAAATCGACGATTCAGAAGAAGCAGCGTATTGGTTGCATGACTGTCTCACCAGCCATGTGGCTGTGACTTTTTAGGTGAGCCCAGGAGGTTCCCCGAATGGAAAGTACATAAAAGCCCTTACAAACTAACGAGTCGACACGCGGGGCCAGTTGGCTTTTTTGGTAATTCCTATTAGCTGCCGATGGGGCTGAGTGAGCTATGAATGGCTCAGGAAGAGAGGTTTAAGACCGCAGATCAGATATCCAACGCTTCTTATTGCTTTGAATCGGCACGTGCAGATCCTTGCCCACACGTGTCTTGTTAAGTACGGTGAAAACTCCCTCGACAATTTCATCGTTTAGTACAAAAGGAATTGTCAAAGTAAATAATTTGGCTCATTTGGTTAGGGAAAAATTAGAAAAAAACATGTTCATCAATATGCAAAGGATGAGTGGAATAATTTTTATATAATCAACATATTTGATTAGTCAATTTGCTATTCATCTTAATTCCATTTATTCATCTCCTATTTTGTATTACCGACAAAAAGAACAAATATTTCTCTATGCATTATTATATAGCCTCGTTTGGTTGGTTCGTTTTTTAATGGTGGTTCGTCGATAACCCATCATCATCAACATTCTTCTATGATGATTGATGAATAAACTCGTTCATTAGCAAAACATGTGTCGAGTTTTCAGAAATGGGCCAAATAAATTGCATTTAATTGTTATTTTTTATTTTAAAGAAATAATATTTTGTTCGTTTGATCGACCAAAATATTTTAAAGAAATAATTTCTTATTTTAAATAAATAATAAATTGCATTTAATCGACCAAAATATGTTTTGTTTGTTTGTTGTTTTCATATTAAAAGAATCGTAAGATAAATGAAATATATTTAGTTTTAATTCAATCAAGCCAAATTAACAAGGGATAATTGCAAAAATACAATTTTTGGTGTGCCATTCTATTTGTAAAAATACCACTAATTATTGATTTTTTTAGTCTAAATCTTAAAATTTTAAACCCTAAAAAATGTTTTGACCTCTTACAGACCATAATACAACTTACTTAACCCAAATATAAATAATATAATGAATAAATAATTTTGAAAACTGACATTTTTGTAAATATATTGAAAATATGGTATTTTGGAAAATGGCACTTTAAAAGTGGTATTTCTCAAAAAATTTCAATGAACAAACTGATCATAAGAATTTTCTTTTTATCTAAAAAGGTATATTTTAATCTATTTATTTTTCAAAAAGAAAATCGTTGAAAGATGTTAAAAATAGATCATGAGAGAATTGTGTTCTAATTATAACAAAAAGATAAAAATAAATAATGGTATGAATTTTTTTTGTTGCAATTAGTTTTAAGGGTGAATTAGCTTAATATTACTTGTGAAGAATATAATTAGGAGAATAACATTGGTATAATAGAAATTAGATGAGTAAGAGAGATGTAAGATATTCAGACGAAATTGCCTTTATTTAATTTGGTAAGTAATGTCAAAAAAAAAAAATAATCGAATAAAGAAAGTACTAAGGAAAAAAATCCCTAGAATATTTTTTCGTTTAAAGGAGTGGCACTTTTGACGGTGATTTGTTTTGGCGAGCTATAAGGGAGACAAAATCAAAATTTATCGTGAATAAGACCGATAATATCAATAGTCAACTGCGTAGGTCTTATAGGTAACTATCCATGTGTTAAGTATAGTTGACTATCGCTGGATATTGTGTAGATATAGTTAACTACATAGGTCCTATAGCTAACTATTCATGTGTTAATTTATTTAATAACATAGTTAACTATTCTCGTAACTACATATTATGTTAGTTTCATAACAATAGCTAACTATCTTACGCTATTTTGTTAGTATCTAAAACATAGTTCACTATTTTTAACAAAATAATTATGAATTTAAATAGCAGAGTTTAGTTATTTTCATAATATAGTTAACTATTTTTATAATATAGTTTTATAAATTTATTGATTTCATAATATAGTTAACTACATGAAAATATTGTTGTAATAGTTACTTAAATAAACATAGTTCATTATCATAACGTAGTTAGCTATTATAGTTTATATATTGAAAAAGAATGATATAAATAGTTAACTATTATCAGAAATATAATTATAACTATTATCTATTATTAGATGTAATAATGATATTG